CACAAACTACATATAGTGTTGAAAAGGATATAAAATTAAAATAATATTTTTTAACTTGGTTATGCCCTTGCAATATTGTAATTTATAGATGACCTCTAAACTGCAGGTATTGGTAAAATCATTTGACGTCGACATCACACGACAAGTCTACATAAAGAAAAAATAATGTCTCAAACATGAAGATGTAAACTACATTACATTTTTCTGATATGATTGAAGTCCTAAAAAGAATAACCGATCGTAATAAAGTGTGTATTTTTATCTTTAAAAATCGCCGATATTTGCATTTGTAACCTTAACTGTGCTATACGTAACTTTATATATTCCAATAATTCTAAAATTTTGATCCATAACGATAAGTTTTTACATGCAAATAAGTTTCTGTTGAATTTAAAAACGAAATGTGAACCTGTCAACTGACTTTTAAGAACTCTTTGTAAATCTAAATATTTACTTCACAGGATTCAACGTTTCTTAGAAATATATTTTTATCCCACTTTTCATTTTTTTTTTGTGATAGTTAAAATCTTTACATTCTACTTTTTTTTCTTGAGAGAAGGGAGAATGAAAAGTGGGTAAGAAATTTTGAATAAATGTAAGATGTCTAAAACTTGATTTCATAAATAAAATCTTAGATCCATTAACATAAGTACTTAGTACGTACAACTATATTTCTTCCTTCTTAAAGAAAATACGAAAAATAAAACCGTAAAGTAACTTTGAATTTAATTTGATCTTAAAAAAATCTCTTACACATGTATTTTGAAAACATAACTGGATTTGGCCAGTAGGCACTGCCTCTATATGTCCATTAAATAAAAAAAACTTTTGAAAACACTTTGTTAATCTAAATATTTACCCAACACGAACCAAAGATTTTTAAAATATTTTTTTTCTACCTTCTATTGTAATTTTATGATAGATGAAATATTTGATTTCTTATTTTTTTTTTCAAATAAAGGAGGATAACCTCATACAAACCAATGTTTTTAGAAATATTTTTTATCTCATTTTTCTTTGTTTTTATGATAGTTGATATCCTTACATTCAATTCTTTTTTTTTCAGAGAAAGGAAATTGAAAATCGGGTAAGAAGTTTTGAAAAATAAAAGATGTCTAAAAATTGATTTCACAAATCAAATTAAAGATCCTTTCTTATAAGTACTTCGTACATACCAATATATTTCTGTCTGATTAAAAGAAAATACGAAATATAAAACCCTCAAATAACCGTGAATTGAATTCAATTGAAAAATAATAGTTTTTTATGCATAAACATAACTGGATTGGACCGCAAGCACTGCCTGTATAAGTCCTCTCCATGAAGTAACTTTTGAAAAATCTTTGTTAATCTAAATTTTATAACCTTCCACATACCAAAAAATCTAAAATTTCGATCCATAACAAGTAGTTATTTTATGCAAATAAATTTTTGTCGAATCAAAAAAGAAATTTAAAACTGGTAAGTGACTTTTGAGAACGCTTTGTAAATCTAGATAATTACTTCACGCTATTCAATGTTTCTTAGCAATATTTTTTAGCTCACATGAGCTGAAGGCTCAAGTGAGCTTTTCTGATCACATTTTGTCCGTCGTCCGTCCGTCTGTCTGTCTGTCTGTCCGTCTGTCTGTCTGATTGTCTGTCCGTCCGTCTGTAAACTTTTCACATTTTCGACTTCTTCTCAAGAACCACTGGGCCAATTTTGACCAAACTTGGTACACAACATCCTTGGGTTAAGGGGATTTTAAATTGTTAAAATTAAGGGACATATCCCCTCGCAAGGGGAGATAATCAAGAAAAGACAAAAATAGGGTTGGGTCATTAAAAAATCTTCTTCTCAAGAACAACTGGGCCAGAAAAGCTGAAACTTATGTGGAAGCATCCTGGGGTAGTGTAGATTCTAAATTATTAAAATCATGACCCCCAGGGATAGGGCGGGGCCACAATGGGGAATCAAAGTTTTACATAGAAATATATAGGAAAAAACTTTGAAAATCTTTTACTCAAGAACCACTGGGCCAGAAAAGCTGAAACTTATGTGGAAGCATGCTGGGGTAGTGTAGATTCTAAATTGTTCAAATCATGACTCCCTGGGGTAGGGCGGGGCCACAATGGGGAATCAATGTTTTACATAGAAATATATTCGAAAAATCTTTGAAAATCTTCTTCTCAAGAACTTCTGAGCCAGAAAAGCTGAAACTTATGTGGAAGCATGCTGTTTTAGTGTAAATTCTAATTTGTTCAAATCATGACCCCCAGGGGTTGGGCGGGGCCACAATAGGGAATCCAAGTTTTACATTGAAATATAAAGAATAAATCTTTGAAAATCTCCTTCTAAAGAACTACCGGGTTAGAAAAGCTGAAACTTATGTGGTAGCATTCTGGGTAAGTGTAGATTCTAAATTGTTCATATTATGACCCCTGGGGGTTGGGCGGGGCCACAATGTTGAATCAAAGTTTTACATAGAAATATATAGGAAAAATATTTGAAAATCTTCTTCTCAAGAACCACAGGGCCAGAAAAACTGAAACTTATGTGGAAGCATACTGGTGTAGTGTAGAATTCAAATTGTTTAAATTATGATCATTGGGGTAGGGTGGGGTCACAATTTGTATTACAAGGTGGAAATCTGGTAAAGAACAGAATGGCCAAAGCTTCTCAGGTGAGCGATGTGGCCCATGGGCCTCTTGTTTATTCCACTTTTCATTGTTTTTAGTTTAGTTGAAATCTTTACATTCTATTCTTTTTTTCAGAGCAAGGAAATTTTAAAGCTGGTAAGAAAATTTTAATTAATGTACAATGTCTAAAAATTGATTTCATAAATTAAATCTAAGATCAATTTCGATAAGTAATTAGTACGTAAAAGTATATTTCTGCCTACTTAAAAAAATACGAAACATAGAACCGTCAAGTAACTTTGAATATAATTTGATCTAAAAATGTTTAATTTTTTCTATGTATAAAAATAGATAAAAAAAAACAACAATATTTACAACATATTTATACAAAAATTTTCTACAATAAATATCACTCTAAGACTAAAGATTGTCTATTTCCATCCAAGTATACCACACGACCATGTCCTGACACTCCCCATTTTACGACAGACTCCCGTCATTTGGCTCCCAGTGGGTTTCCGGTCCAGGTAACGCTCGTATCACGTTTCCACATAAAATGGCTGGAACAAAGCTGTAATAGGACCTTTAAATTAAGGTAGAGATTGATAGCTTGTCAACAAAAAAACTACCCATTGAATTTTTCCGAATTTTTTATATGTTTGTGTTGAGTCCTTGTTCTAAATCATATAAAAAATTCAGGGCAGGTCATCGGGCTAGTTTTAGAGAAATTTGACACTTTTAATATAGCCTTAATCAACCACCGAAGAGCTGAAAAAGCAGAGTAAAATAATATAAGAATATGATATGAAAAGGGCTGTAATTTTTTATTGGTATATCAATTATCATTTGTCTTTTATGAATTCAAACATCTGTCTGTATTGATTAATATTTGACATCAATCTTAAATTTATCAAGCATTGTTAGCGAAAAACAGAGTTACATTTACCAAGATGCATGGTCAAATTAGGATAAAATATTGCCTATTCCTTGCACAAAGTCTCACACTTCTGCTTCCACTGTGAAAAAATTACCCATCAAATTTCTTTTTTTATTGCATATTATAGATAGCCTATAAGTGTCTTAAATTTTAGAAAAAAATCATACTACATAATGGGGTTTAAATTCAACCTGGAAAAAGTTTATTATCTTATACCCTACCCTACCCCCTTACTGTAGAAAGATGGAATTTTGAAGAATATGGTGACTAAGAGAGATTATCAAGAATTTATCAAAATATTTCACAGAAAATGAGTAAATTCTTTCTAATATTCTTCTAAATTACATTTTGTATCATAAAAACAAGTTATACATGTACATCTAGACACATGTTGCCCTGGTTGACCTTTTTGCACTTAAATTAAAAAAGATAAGTTTTCCTGATATCGTTCAAACTGACCTTGATAGATAGAATATTTAATAAAAATATTTCAAAGAAAATGAGTTAAATTCCAAGTAATATTCTTCTAAATTACATTCTATATCACAGAAAACAATTTATACATGTACACCTTGACACACGTTGCCCTCCATGACCTTTTTGCACTAATATTAAAAAAATAAGAACTTTCCCTGATATCGTTCAAATTGACTTTGTAGATTTATTATACATATGATTCTGGGATGAATTATCAATGAAAATATGTTTTGACCAATTCTGTGCATAAGTAAACTGTTTTTTTTTATCTTCCTTTTACAACAATAGAATGATTAATTTCACTTTTTTTTCAACAATTCCTTTTTTATTCCAAATACATGTACAACATAAATAAGAGTACCAAGTGATAATGAAGTTTTGAACACAGAATCAATCCACAACATGATATCCTTGTTTTAAAAATATTCAGATACAAATGTGTAATGTATTACACTGTTAAATGAAGACTGCCTGGTCATCAGTTGTCAGATATAAATACAGTAAAGCATGGTTAAAAAAAAATGCTAAATACATGGTAAAAAGTGCGGGAAAATTGGGTTATTTGGTTATCATTACTTATATACAAAAAAAGTGTAAAAATTTACAAAAAAAACATACATTGTATTAGAGGTAATAATTTGTAACTTTAAAGTATAGATTTTGCAAACAGATTCATAAAAGTTAGAGGAATCCCACCATAAACTGTATACATGTGCTACTGTACATTTTTTATACTGATGATGTAGTTAAAAAAAATAAAGTGAATACATTCAGTACATGTACGGTAATAGCCTTAAGATAAACTTGCTATTTCGCTTTTTGTCTTATTGGCTAACAAAGATCAATGTAAACATGTATGCATTTTTAATTGCCATCATATGCAGCCAGTTGCGTCATGTTCAAGGATCCTGACATTTCGGTTGTTTTTATGTTCTTTCACAAGGATCTGCAGTAAGCAAATTTTGAAGCATGTCTTATGGTGTGATTTGTCCGTTCCTCTTTACTGTCTCCTTCTGGTAGTTCTTTTTCTGAAAAGATCAAAATATTTTTATACAATAAGAATGAAAATACATGTTTTACTTCTTTCTTACACTGCAAACATAGTATGACTATGTCTATATGAATATAAGACACTTTTGGGATACCTTATTTATATAATATCTTGTATTTTTTAAATTAAATGCATATAAAATCAGCCTCATTATCTGGGCACTTTTGCTCCCAAGGAAATTATTAATGAATTGTCTTAATTAAACAAACTAGTTCTATAAGGATAAAGATAAAATATTTTAGTTTCTAAATAAAGGGCTTATAGGCCACACTCTAAGGCCAAAACCATGGAGTTAAAGGGAAAAAAATAAGCATGAAATACAAAGACTCAGCACAAACTGTTCAAGAGTTAACACCAAAGGATCAAGTTTTTGTGGAAATAAAAAACTACATGTACCTTTCAGTGACACATCAAAGCATATACAACTAGCTACCTAACTATTATATGTGGAATTAAAAAACTTAATTAATTGAATTCAATTTACAACATGATTTTTTTATATGTTTATACACACATATTAAACCATACATGTATTTAAGTGAATATAACACCTACATCTGAGTGGTGATGCAGGGATCCCCGGTTAGATTCTCAGTCCAGCAATACATGTTCCTTGTTTCCTGACACACAAATATGCCACTTTATGTTCAGTTTGCAGTAGCAGATCTGGCTTGACCTTTCCTGAAATAATTAGTATGATCTTTGAGAAATTATTGACTTAGAAAATGCTTCTATATGTATACAATAATTAATACCTTATGTACATTATGGTGTTTAAATAAAAAATACAAGGACTAAAAATCATAAATTTCAATTTTTTTTAATTCATGTGTCACAGGGTCACGGTCTTGTATGAATAATTCATAAACAAAACTGGTTCGGTCGTTTTACAATTTATTGATGGATATAAAGAAAAACCTAGAAAATAGAAAAACGCTCTCACAACACTCATACAAAACAATATCATAGACAAACACGAAACAAAAAGACATTTCGACATTTACGAATGAGAAATGGCTATCGATGCATACCTCGGCTTAGACTCTGACACAGAAAAGATTCGCAGTCGCGACAATTATGCAAAGAAACTCCAGAAGCGTCTAGAGTTCTCTTACAAGATTGCATCACGTGAAGCTGAGAAAAGTGCTTCTCGTCACAAATTGAATTATGACTCAAAGGTTAGAGAAGCCACGGTACATGTTGGAGACCGTGTTCTCATTAGAAATGTTGGTTTAAAAGAAAAAAATAAACTGGCGGATAAATGGGCCAGAGATACCTATATTGTCATTAATCAGCCCAATTCTGACATCCCAGTATTTCAGGTCAAGAAAGAGTATGGGAAAGAAAAAACTAAAACTTTGCATAGGAATATGCTACTTCCCATATCTTATATCCCCAAACTTTCTGAACAGGGTGAACATTTCCCTAAGGTGACCAAACACAAATGTGTTCAAAAACAGCAAAATCCTGATGGAGAGAATCTCTCTAAGGTAAATAATGGTACTAATGTATCTAGATGTATTCATTCTGATTCTGGTTCTGAGTCAGAAGATTCAGATTCTTGTTCATCTGATGGTGGTAACATTTATATTATACCACAAAGACGAGTAGGTCACTAGTAATGGGATCTGATTTGTCTGAATTATCTGAGTTCATTAGTACATTAGTACTTACAGTCATGCACGTTAATGGATCCTCCTCTCCTGTTAGGAACACATTTTCAAAATAAGGGCAACTTTTATGATCTGCTACATATGCACTACAGATAGACTGGACAACATTGGGATTGACTTCCACCATCTCATTTGGTCGTCTAGACAAACCATCTGCATCTGCATTGTTTGTACCTTTTCTGTAGCGGATGGAAAACTGGAAGTTACTGAGTGCGGTTAACCATCTGTGGCCTGTAGCATCAAGCTTTGCTGTGGTCAAAATGTACGTGAGAGGGTTATTATCCGTCACTACTTCAAACTTGTTACCATACAAATAGTCGTGAAACTTATCGGTAACTGCCCATTTCAAAGAAAGGAATTCAAGTTTGTGTGCTGGGTAGTGTCTTTCACTGTTCTTTAACCCACGACTCGCATAAGCAACAACTCTTTTCTCACCATTCTGAATTTGGTAGAGAACAGCACCTAAACCATTACATGATGCATCGGTATGAAGAATGAAAGGGTGGTCAAAGTCAGCATAGGCAAGAATAGGTGGAGACATCAGTTTCTGTTTAATGGTCTCAAATGCCTTGGTTTCCTCATCACCCCATCTCCATGCTGGTGCTTTTGTCTTACATGACTTACCTTTGTATGTGGAATGGCCTTTAAGTAGATCATTAAGAGGCTTAATGATTTTGGAATAATCTTTCACATACCTCCTGTAATAACCTGAGAATCCCAAAAATGTTCTAAGAGTTTTGATGTTAACAGGAATCGGCCATGATGATATAGCTTTTGTCTTCTCTGGATCTGTCGCTATGCCTCTCTCGCTAACTACATGCCCTAAATAACTTACACTGTTTTTGAAAAATTCACACTTTTTAGCTTTAAGTTTCAGATTGTTTTGTTCTAGTCTTTGTAAAACAGCTGTAAGTCTGTCCATATGTTCGTCAAATGTCCTTGAAAATATCAGGATGTCATCTAGAAAAACTAAACATTTCCTTAAATTCAATTCACCCATACAACTTTCCATCACTCTCTGAAACGTAGCTGGGGCGTTTGTCAATCCGAATCCCTTTCGATTACATTCAAACAGACCTACTCCACTTACCGAAAAAGCTGTCTTTTCTCGATCTCTTTCATCGATTTCTACCTGCCAGTATGAACTTGTCAGATCTAACTTGGTAAAGAACTTGGATCCAACTAACCTATCAATTGTATCATCTATGCGTGGAAGATTGTAAGCATCTTTCACTGTCCTAGAGTTCAGTTTCCTGTAATCAGTACAGAATCTCAAGGTTCCGTCTTTTTTTCTTACCAGTACGATATTAGATGAATAAGGGCTCTGTGATGGTCGAATGGCTCCTACATCTAGCATTTCCTTAACATGTTGTCTGATTTCTTCATACAAACCTGGTGGTATACGTCGATAAGGTTCTTTGAATGGCTGGTCATCTGTCAGTTTAATCTCATGCTTCAGTAAATCTGTCTTTCCTATATCTGTGGGACCATCTGAGAATAAATGAGTCCAGTTAGATAGAAACTGTTTCACATGACTTACTTGCCTAGTAGTAAGGTTGTCCTCGGAGATCTTGATGTCCAATTCCTCCAAAGACTTTCTGGGTTTCTTAATACCTTGATCCTGTGTTTCAGGATTCCAAGAGTCCACTAACTGTACACCACTTACTGAACATAAAAGCGATCTCGGTGGTTTATGCACAATAGAGGCTGAAATATTGCAAACCCTAACAGGAATAGTAGTAGTCCGCTTACCCTGGGCAAGGGAAATAACTCTCGGACAAACAATGAGACCTCCTGATAATGAAGTATTTGTTTGCTCAGTCAAAGCTGATACAATACCATGGTTATTTCTTACCAGACCTCTGATTACTTTTGTCTCATTTAGTAGCACTTGAATGGTACACTTGTTAGTCGTCCTCACTGGTGTTTCATCATTCATGCTGTCAAATGCTATCTTCCATTGTTCTGGAACATCATCTGAATCAGTGGAATTCTGGTTACAAGCATTCCTGTAAAAACGAATGAAATTAGTTCCAAGAATCATAGGTACCTGCCTTGAATAATTTGTCTGGGGAACTACTAGAACAGGAATAGTATATGTAAATTCACCAAAGAAAGGTACACATATGTCAATTTCTGCATAGCCGCTGTATGGCAAAGCACTGCCATTAGCGCTCTGAACATTGAGTTCAAATTCTGAAAGGTCATGTAACTCAGGCCTAGGGTTTAAATTCCTGAAAAATTCCTCTGATATACAGGTTATCATGGATCCTGAGTCAATGAGAGCTTTGGTTTTTATACCATTGACAATAATTTCAGATTCATTGGATTCTCCAACTAACCTGTACAAAAGACTGGATGGATTTTTGGTAGAATTAGGGCTATTTTGAAATGAATCTCCAGTTTGCCCCTCAACAGGAGATGAAACTAGTTTAAAGTACTACCTGTACAAAACCCATTCATGTTACCAGACTGCTGTGTTGTACCAGTAAACTGCCTTTGTTGCCATGGTTGCTGAGTCTGTTGCTGAATCTGGTGCTGCTGGTTTGACGGTTGCTGTTGATTCTGAGATTGGAAATACATTCCTCTGCCTCTGTTGACAAATTTATTCCTGCCCCGGAAATTTCCTCTGTGGTAAGTGTTGTTGGAGGTATTTGTCTGAAAAGAATCTGTATTATTAAAACCAATTCTTTGGGTTTGATTACTTGCATTTGAACTTTGCTCGATTTTACCCATTCTGCTATCAAGTTTCTTCATCTGAGAAAGTAATTCTGTGAGTTGTTTTTGCATATTTTGCAGTTCAGAATTTTGAATTGTCAATGAATCTACATTACTTGACATAGCCGCACTTGCTTTTGGAACTGAATTTACAGATTTCAAACTAGTTTCTTCTTGTTCAATCTGTCTCATTTCTCTTAGAAGAGAGAGAAACTCTTTAACAGTCTCATACTTGTGCCTTGTAGCATTTCTTAGCTGCGTGCTTTTTAAACCTGACCAAAACTTTGATCTAAGCATTGGGTCCTTGGCATTTACATCAATGTGACCTACTTTTACAGCTTTTGATAAACACTGTTCTAATCTAGACCCGTAGGAAACAATTGACTCACCTTCTTGTTGATGATCCGAATAAAATATTTGCATGATGTTTTCGGGTGTGCAGACATTCCCATAAAAATCATCTAATTTTGCGAGGATGTTCTCAACTGTTGCATATTCTCCAAGTGGAATTAGAATTTCCCTTGCTGTCCCCTTCAGAGAACTTCTCACTGGCTGCAAAAGAACATGATCAGGCCACTGGCCCTTTAAGCACCTAACCTCATATGACCAAACGTCATAGCTCACTTCACCTTTCTGAGCTTGCTCACTACCGCTAAAAGTTGGAAGTTTTATAGGGGTAGGGTTGTTATTTTGATGAAACAGAGCAGAGCTATGAAACAATTGAGGTGATGACATAAGACCTGGCGGGTGTAAATAACCTGGTGAGGGTATGTGACTAGGGATCGGTACTTCACCTAAGGATGGTAGTTTAGGAATGGTACCCTTATTCAAACCATGTTTAACCTTAGGGGTAGTTGGAATTTTCTGCCCTTTCAACAGGTCCTACTCCTCTTTTGTTATAACCCTGTAATGCTCTTCTGCATTGATTTGCTCTATAATTTCTTGCAAGTCCTTCTTACCCTTGGTTTCATCAATATCATCTTGTAAATCCTTCTTACCCTTGTTTTCATCAACACCAGTTGCCATGTTGATTTTTCAATTGATACCAAATCGCAAGCAAAGATTAACTTATCGCAATGCGCAAATGTCAACACACAAGCAATCACTCACTCAAATTCTGTAAAATTCTGTATAAATACAACTGCATACACAATAAACTGAAAAAAAAAACAATATACCCAAATTTACCTCTGCTTTGTCTAATAGTCCTGTTGTTCTCAGTCCTGTGCTCCAATTAGTAATGCTGCAATATTAAGAAAGTGATCGCGCGCAGGGAAATTTTCAGCTACTATAAACTACTGTACATGATCGACTCGCATCAACAAAATGTTCAACAGACAATGAAATTGACGGACAAAAATAAACATTGACAGTCAACAAAACAAACACGACTGTAGACAACACAGTACATATAATAACATCAAGCACAGTACACATACATTTGGCAGTCTAAATTCCGATAGGTGCCTGTTCAAGCACAGATAAATAAAACATTTACCAACTCAAAACACGTTTTCTGTACTTCCGGAAGTTTACCACCAAAACAAGGAAAAATATATCGAGCTCGATCCCGATCAAAATTCACACACGCACTTCTTACACACAGCCGGCATCTCTCAAACAAATCAATACAAAGAATATAAATCACAATAATACACAAAACAAACAAATAACACACAGAAAATATAAATACAAGTGCGCACAAATATTTTTCTTTAGATTTAATTCAAAGAAATCAATAAACTGTTGAGCTGTAGCTTCAGGTTCCGGAACACTTCACACGGAATAGAAGAATCTACCTGAACACAATTCACTGGTCACGGTACACGGATCACTGAGCATCCGAGAGACACAGTTCTCGATTCCATAGGATGGTTGGAATGTTAAACATAAGTTAGCTAGCTAGAATGATATTTAAACACGTGTATTCAAAATGCGCAAACTTACAGCCTAGGCGGATCCATGGGGAAGTAATAGGCATTGAACACGTACACACGGGCGTTGTGGACAATCCTCTCGTCCCTCAGTGGATTACTGGACCCTGGTCATCATCCATTGGAAAACTTGAAGTTGACGATAATTCATCGTGGAAATCAACATACACATCACTGTAGTATTCACTTCACATCGAAAATTCACGTGGGCGCCATTTGTCATAGGGTCACGGTCTTGTATGAATAATTCATAAACAAAACTGGTTCGGTCGTTTTACAATTTATTGATGGATATAAAGAAAAACCTAGAAAATAGAAAAACGCTCTCACAACACTCATACAAAACAATATCATAGACAAACACGAAACAAAAAGACATTTCAACATTTACGAAAAGTAATAACTAATAGATATTTAACCGACTGCCAGTAGATCGTTACATAAATTAAACAAGTAAATGAATTACAAGATAAATGAACATCTTACCAGGCATCCAGTATTAAATCAGAATAAATATAATACAGTACATCGATTGAATCGATCTGTGGCAATATTCTAAGCAATCTGCTACCGTAAAGGCTGTAGAGCTTGGGGTGGGGATTTGGCGGGTTTCTTACTTTATATAGTGCACGGGTTAGTAAAACATGCATATTAATTAGTATAATGAAATCCATTGGTCCATGGTAGGTCACTGGTCAGTCATACGTAAAGGAAATGCTAAAAATAGAAATTCGCCTGTACAAAACAAAACACTCGCACATGGCTCTCACATACCTGCAAAACCGGTTGTATTCGATTGGCTATGCGCGCCAATCAGAATACGAACTTATATTGCGCAATGCATTAAAGTATATATTTAATAATAATTATAATTTAATTACAACTGTGACACATGTATTATAAAACACATCCTTTTTACCACCCCCTTGAAAAAAAACTCTGGTTTTTCCCTGATACATGTGCAAGTGCAAATTGAAAGAAAAAATACAAAGCAATGGCTATTTGGGAGTAAATGTAAAAGGCATCCTTGATATTCCTCTTTCCAGGTGACACTTGATTTGGTCACATTATTTCAGTTACTCCTTGAATGAAATGACAAAGAAGTCCAGTTCTGGTTAACATGATAATAGGTCGGAAATTATTCAGCACAATGTGAAGTAATCATACTCAGTCATGCCTCACCGCACGGACAGATAACCCAACAATGGAATAACATGTTTTGCTCTAAACCGACCAAACACAGCGATGTTTAAACTATCTCTGCTTTGGAATGTTTTTTAAAGTCTCCCTAGTATAAATAACAATAGTCATTTAACTGCGATTTTTGTTTCTTTTCCATAAAAAGAAAAGTTACATTGAAATAGCTAAATAAAGCTACCTGAGGTAGGTAAATAAAGCTACGTAGGTAATTCTACCTTCGTTAGTTCGTAGCTAAATGTACTGATTGTACTGGACCTGATAAATTCGTAAATATTTACCTTATGCATCTGACGTGGACACAGCATACAAAAAATCTGTTCTGCGAAAGTTTTACTTCTTCCGTCATACCAATTAACATCTGTAGAGTCATGGTATTTAAAATGCCTATACAGAAAACAACATCAGGCATAGATCGATGCCGGTGTACCCACGTGGTGCTGCAGCGGACACTGGACAAGGAGTAGTTTCACCAAAATTATGTTCATGTTCGGCTTCAGTCTCACTTCTATTTTGATTCTCATGAAGATGCTTCATTTTAGAGAATCGTTAAGATTTAATACGTATGGTAACTTTGTCTTCTAAGTCGAGGAAATTTCTAGATCGCTTCGTCGGCCATCTTGTAACATAGACAATAATGTGTAGATGGAGACTTTTATTTGACGGCGTTCCGGAATTCGGAAAAAAAAGCACGTGCAAATATGCGAATTCTTTCTATCACGTGATTGCTATCGGTCTTTACCTTAAATAATATTAGTTATCAAGTTACGTTTACAAAAATAACACGTCAACATTGACTACAGTTGCACTTATGGCATACCATACAAAACAGTACCGGTAATTCTAACCGAACACAATTATAATAAGAAAAACCTTAAGAATACACAACATCTAAACAAAAATGGTTTTAGGTATGAAACCCACAACACCGAATTTATAAGAGGCAAAACAAAATAGCCTACGTGCGGCCATAACTTAGTACATTGCACAAAAAATACGTTTAATAATACACACATGAGTAACTTTACCCAGCAATACCTGTATACGTAAACAGTGACAAAAACATTACTTAACTCAAATTCGTACATGACTTTACGTCTTAAATGTAGTACTCAAAACTTATATATAAAATAAAAAAAACAAATTTACCCCTTATGGAGAAATGGCTACCGTTGAAAACCTTTTTATCTACACATCTTGGATTGTAGTAACTCAAGCATGGCAAACCTATGACAACGTGGACACCGGCAACATGGTCAGCTATGCAGCGATTTAAATACCTTCTAATACAATATGTCCTAACTGACCAATGCCTGCAAAACTTAACTGAGGTTCAATAAGGTAACAAAAATATAGAGATCCAGTAAAGGGTAAATAAAAGAAAAGCAATAACCGTGATGTAAATACAATTTAAGTACATATTGACTGTGACATAACTGGATTTGGCCAGTAGGCACTGCCTCTATATGTCCTCTACAAAAAATAACTTTGATAACCCTTTGTTATTCTGAATATTAACTTAACACTAACCAAAGTTTCTTAGAAATATTTTTTTCAACTTATTATTGTTTTTGTTTTTATGATAGTTGAAATATTTTCTTTCTTATATTTTTTCGGATAAAGGAATTTTTAAAAAGGGGAAGCGTTTGCGTCATGGAATTTTGATTGAATCAAAGATATCTAAAAATGATTTTTTTTTCCATTTATATAAATTGTATTACGTACAAATCGATTCTGCCAAATTAAAGAAAATAGGAAATGTAAACTTGCCACGTGACTTTTGAGACCTCTTCGTCAATCAAAACAAATTCCCACGATCCAATTTATTTTTCTATGAAAAAGGACCATTTAAAAGTATTTTTACAACATTCACTTACATTACTTTAATACAAACTAAGTTATTATTGAAGAATTGATTTATTAAAAAAATAAACGCTTAACTGTTCCTGGCATGGGAAATTAAGCTTCATTTTTTTTTAATCTAGAGTAAAATATTCACGATAAGTTAATGCAAGTGAACCAATCATTAAGACGCCTTCACAATGCTGATTGAAGTAGTGGCATTAGATATGTGGAAGGCATACAGCCAATAATGTGGCCATTCCGTCAACAATTGAGTGGCAATTAATGATTTATGTCAAAAACATGATGTAGTTACAATATCGACACATTACTTTTTTCTATAGTTTACTATCATATTTCTCTACCCTTTTATGCTTATTACAACACTTTCTGTTTTAAGATGTGTTCCTTACTGTTAATATTCACGATACCGTGCCGATATCAAATCATAATTGTTCAAAGAACTATGGTTTCCCTATATTATACTAGTATTTTGTTTGAAAATTTGTTTTTAAAACTTTCTTTTATAAAACTTTCCCTGTAGTGTCTATATCGTCGATATCGATGATATCGCTTCGATATCGAATCATGTTTGGTCAGCCCTTGGTAAATACCGTAATTAGTACTTTGTATGTGTATTTTTGTTTAATTACTTTTTTTTACGAGGATTGTACCTGTCATCGATATCGATTAATGATTGTTAAAACATATTACTTTAACATCCTTTACCTTAATACAAAATCTTTACTTTTAACATATCCAAAGACAACAGGCTCTGTTTTTCTTCATGCAATGCTTGTGCATATTTTTTTTAATAAGTTTATCCTTCTGTCGATATTGTCGACATCGACGATATCGTATCGATATCGAATCATGTTTAAATATATTTAACAACTTTCAGCCTCATCCAACATCTTTCTTTAAGCCTTAAGCCTTATTCAAAACAATAACAACCCTTACCTCTTTCCTTATCATAATTTATTTTCATATTCATGCTTATATTAATGAATGGATTTTGACATCACTTGTGACCTTGTAAAATATGTTATAGCTCATTGTTAAAATAAATTCTACAAATAGGATGGATATCGATACGATATCGTCATGGTATTTTCGATATCGACTATATTACATAGTACAATGTCTCATATATGGAACCAAGTTTTTTTCATTAAAAGTGCTAAACACGATCGATATCGATACGATGTCGTCATAATATTGTCGAAATCGAAATTGAATTTCTTCTAGGACACGTATGCAAATAATGACCATTTCAATTCTATGAAACAAAAAAATAGTCAGTACTTGTTTTAATGATCGATTGTTTTGTCTGATATGATCAGTGTATTGAATATAGGACTAAAAAAATGATTAATGAGACTGTAGATATTCTTGTTTCCTCAGGTTGTTTGACAATAACTTACCTTGATTTAGAATGTGTTTTCTCGTAAAACATGCCCTTCAGTATCATCCAACAAGAAATATTTACATTTGTGGTATCTCTCTATTATATAAACATACGGAGAACATATTATCTTCAATTCTGTATGAAGTTTGTTTGAGGTCAGAGGTCAAAACGTTACCTAATCACACGGCGCAATAACATCTACCAGTGCATAAATATTAAAATGACCTCCTCTTCTTGCTTTTATGTATAAAAAATGAACAAAATATGCAAGCAAAATAATAATTATTTTATTAACAACGTTAACACGTATTTCATACAGTTTTTTAGCTGTCTTTTTAACCTGTGTACATTGAGAATATACCGATAGCAACTAGCTATTGTTTTATGTCACTTCTTTCAGCTGTACAGCCTCTAACGTTTATCCTTATTTTTGGGATAGACTTTTAATTATATCTTCACGATAAAATATATTTTTTTCATCGAATTCTACTCACAATAAATGTGTAAATCTGTTATATATCAAAGCATTCAAAGCATTGTAATCACGCCACGAACAGCTGACAAACACCTCGGCGCTGTCGTAGTTCAATTTAAGCTTTCGCTAGTGTCCCCGTGATTTGTTTACATCGTAAATGTGCCTTTAGTTATTAGAATCGTAGAAGTTTTGATCCGAAATACTTGATTGCAAATTAACTCACACGGTCAAGTGTTTCCATCCATCGTATTATCCATTCCTTTATGGCGATCAAAATTCCTTAAACTTTTTATCATCTTGTGTCGTTTCAGCATTGATTATCAATTTTCACGAATAGAAATATTCCCAGACAACAATCTGTTCACAAATACTGATTACAAGTAGCATTTCACAAAATAGTCCCTTAGAAATAAAATCCCTAGCCTAATGAATTCGAAGCGTAACCGCCATTCAAGTCGATTTACACCTTGCGTCATTTTTCAAAATGTACGACGGTCGGTTAGTGCAATAATTAACATTCAGAAATATTCAATCGTCTGTCTCAAATGTATATATAAGTAATATAAAACAAGTTTACAAATTTGAATGGGAATTGAAGAAGACCGGTACGTGATCAAATCTTCTGAGAACGCCTTCGGCCTTCACAGGATTTGATTACGTGACAGACCCACTTCAATTTCCATTGAAATGTATGAACTTGTTATTTTTTTCTTGAATAAAGCCTGTATGCAGGGGATGAAGCTATATTGCTGCATAAGTAATGGAATTTGGAAGTTTTTTTATAATGTGCTGTAAAGTAAGCATTTACCTCTATCTCTCGCTCTATGCTATGCATAAAAAAGTGAAACAAACACAAGTGAGTTAAGGCTACGTTTGTTTCTATGCATTAAATCTTAGTAAAACCAATACTGGCTATAATACCAAGCAGAAAAAAGTTAAGACTTATTTCTTAAATATTCTTGGTACCCACGATTTGCGATAGCCTGTTCACAACGTAACGTCATTTTATGATGTCATCAATCCTGAGTACACATATAAATAAGAAACATCAACAAAATTGCTTCGGCGCAAGGGCATACCTTACTTTCTTTTAAAGAAACATGGTAAAATAGACGCATAATATTCCAGGGATTACAGATATTGCTACACAAATGTAGACAAGTGCAATTGATTTTTTACAATACGTAGAGTTTAAATTAAAGCAGGGTAAAATTCACAATCAAGTGTAAGTTTCAAAAAATTTTTATCATTTGAGAAAGTGACTAGAATTTGTGCAGCATTTTATTTAAGCTTGAGAATATTATCAGTATTCTTTTAATTATCCGTATCTTTAAATTAAATAAGATATGCCCTTGCGCCGATGTTGTTTTGTTGGTGTGTTTTATTTTCTTGAATAGGAAGGAACAGTTTTGTCATTATATGACGTCATAATGTATCCTAGCTACAATATGCTGTTGGAACTAAGTATGAATAGGGAAATCAATTAACTTTCTTTTAAAATAAAATATACAAAATATGCCTTTTTTATTAGCCCAATTCCATTGAAGTCTCAATATGTTTAGCCATTCTTAGCTCACTTACGTATGAAGATAACGAACAGTATTGAAGAACAGAAGTCCAAAAAGCAATACAAAATAGGGACAGAAATACGCGAACCACCAAAACATTAGAGGTATAGGTATGACAGGTGCCATTGAGGAGTGAGCATCCCCTGCCGACCGGTCACACCCGCCGTGTGCTCCTTGTCATCCGTCGTCGATTCAGTGTATAAATAATGGACTAACAATAAGTATGAGCAAACAC